CTGCCACACCAGCCACATTTCCAGCATTAGGTCACCCCGTGTAGCAAGTGGCCACCACAATGTACAGTGCAGGTACAGAACATTCCATTTTCACAGGGATCTCTATTGGGCAGTCCTAGGCTAGAGGTCTTCCCAGGTGATGCTAGAGGTAAAGAATCTGCCTGCTAATATAGGAGATGCAAAAGACACAGGTTTGATCTGTGGGTCATGAAAATCCCCTGGAGTAGGAAGTGGCAATGCATTTCCATATTCTTGCCTGGAAAATTCCATGGACAGAGGAACTAGGGGGAACTACAGTCCGTGGGGTTGCAAAGAGTCGGACACGACTGAGTACACACACACACACAGAGGTTAGAGGCCAGAACTCAGGTCTTCAGACTCTAAGCCCCATGTTCTGGGCCTGCTTCTGACCTCCCTGGTTTCCTACATGAAATACAAGGGATTTGGCAAAACGGCGCTTAATTGCTCAGTCGTGTCCAGCTCTTTGCAACTCCATGGACTGTAGCCTGCCAGGCACCTCTCTCCATGAGATTCTCCTGGCAAGAATCCTGGAGTGGGTTGCTATGCCCTCCTCCAGGGGATCTTCCCAACCCAGAGATCAAACCCAGGTCTCCCACTTTGCAGGCAGATTCTTTACCATCTGAGCCACCAGGGAACCCAAACTAGGCAAAACTAGGGGCAAGCATAAGGTCTGGCTTCCCAGGTCACCATCTTATGCCTGCACCCCTGCAACTTATGGATAGAATTCTCACTGAAGTTGACCTACCACTTAGGAAGTGATAAATGAAATGAATGCTCCCATTTATAAGAGCCAAATAGACTCCTTTTGTTGTTACAGTGGGGAGATGGAAGACTCTTGGAAATGGGTGGTATAGTCCTATTGAAATGACTTGAACAGAATTGTGTGCTCAGAACAAATACATTCCCACTTCTTTTAAAAAGCATTTGGTCAGTGACCCTTGCTGCCACTCTTCAGAGAGCAGCCACCCCAGGCTGGGTTCAGCCACGACAGATAGCCTTGGGCTCACCTAGGGAGAGGGGCCCATGGAAACTTCTACAGTGGTGGCAAGGTCAGAGCACAAGGATGGAGCCAGGGTCTGATGGAGTCAGTGTTGACCTTGGCCAAGCCCATCTAGGTCTTTCCTGTGCTTCTTCTCTCAACGTAAATGTCCAGAGGCAGGGACAGATGACCCCCCTCTCATGTTCTCTGAGCTAATGGAGAGGCTTAGCACCTCCCATAAAGCATGACACTACCTACAACTGCTCATTCTTCATTGGTGGTTCTTTATGTTTTGGGGGTCACAGACCCTCTAAGTATCTACTGGAAGCTGCGGATCTTTCCCCCAGGAAACCACAGATATGTATACTGATTCCACATTGTGTACATCATTTCAAGCCATTGCTACTCTGGAAGATGGAAGGGGCTGCATGCCAAGGAATGCAGATGGCCTCCAGAAACCAAAACAGGCAAGAAAATACATCTGGGGTAGAGCTCCCAGAAGGAAACACAGCTCCGCCAACACCTTGATTTCAGCCCAGGGAGGCTCAGGCCAGACTTCAGACCTCTAGAACTACAAGACAATACACTAGAGTTGTTTAAGTCACTACATTTGTGTGGTAATTTATTATAGCGGCAATAGAAACTAATACAGATTTTGATCTTTAAGGAAACACAACTTCCAAAAGAAAATGAGAAGAAAAAAAAACAACTGTGACTGAAAAGTGAGGCTGGGGCTTTCCTGATGGCTCAGTGGTAAAGAATCTGCCTGCCAATGCAGAAATCACAAGTTTGACCCTGGTCCAGGAAGATGACACATGCCACGGAGCAGCTAAGCCTGTGTGCCACGACTATTGAGCCTGTGCTCTAGAGCCTGGAAATCGAAATTACTGAGCCCACGAGCCCTAGAGCCCTTGCTCCCCAACACGACAAGCCACCACGGAAAGAGTCCTCATGCTGCAACTAAAAGTAAAACCCCCTCGCTGCAACCAGAGAAAAGCCTGCATAGCAACGAAGACCTAGTGCAGACAAAAATACATCAATTAGAAATTTTTTGAAAAGTGAAGTAAAACTTTAAAAATAAAGTAGCCCTGAGCTAATGTTTAAAGAAAAGAAAAAATGAGTCTATTCGTGAGCAAAGGCAGACTTCAGAGGACAAACCCCAGACAGCAAGTCGACAACAGGCACCCTAGAGGATGCTACTGCCAACAGAAGACACGCCTCCAGCCTGCTCAGGACAAAAAGGAACACACATCCCAACCTCTTTTAAGCTCCTCCCCCTCCTTCCAGGACCAGGCAGCACATGAAGCAGAAGCATCTTCAAAAGCATAGAATGGCAACACTTGCGATACTACAAAACCTCAGCAAAGGAGAATTTTCAGGCTGAGTTTTGAGGTCAAGAAATAGCAACTAGATTCCACACTGGGTTTCAACCACCTAGCCCCGCTGAAGGTGCACCCCACTTTGGGATCTACTCTATCCTTCATAACTGAGAACCAGGCAAAGTCTGAGGTCAAGGGATCCTGTTGAACTCTGGCTGGAGGACCAGGAGGCATTGTTGCAGGAGAAGGAACAGGGCTGTAGCTGAATGTCTGACCCACTCTCTCCTAGATGTGCCTTTGGACCAATGAAGTCCCATGCATAGGTGGTAGCTGTGAAAATTTTTCCCTAACTAATGGGATGCAGGGGGCAGGGGAAAGGATGTTTGTGTATATGTGCATACATGTACAGACACACAATGAGAACACACACAGATACACGTGTTCTGGGCATTTGAGGTGGTTTTAAGACAGCATAAGTGTGAAATAATTAATGTTCTGACACATTCTTCAGAATAAGCCTGAGAGATGGTTTCTATCTGTTACCCACACAGACTGAGCATGAATAAACTAGACCAATTACAGCTGTAGGATGTGGGGATGGGGTGAGACTAAACCCCCATGTTCCCAGAATTTACCTGGAACACCTCAAGGTCACATGCAAATAGAGGACGTGGTTTAAATTTGAATTCCAAGCAGCAACAGAGACTTTCATCAATAGAAAACGCTCCACAACCACCCTATTGTAACCATTCCTAAAAAATGGCCCTCAAAGGGAGAATGCTTTCCTGTAGCACCTGAAGTAGTTTTTTCACCCTGTAGCCACTCTGCTTTTCTGAGCTGGAATCAGAGAGTTCATATAATCTTAAGGCTGAAAAGGTCTTTGATTTAAACAGCATCATATCATTTTATCAAGGGGTTCTTGAGGCAAGAATATCGGAGTAGTTTGCCATTCCCTTCTCCAGCAGACCACGTTTTGTCAGAACTCTCCACCGTGGCCCATCTGACTTGGATGGCCCTGCATGACATGGCTCATAGCTTCACTGTACACAAGGCTGTGATCCCTGTGGTCATTTTGGTTGATCTTCTGTGATTGTGGTTTTCATTCTGGAGGCTATGGAATTGTAGTTCTTGCTTTAATGAGGTGGTTGGATGGCATCGCCGACATGAGTTCGAGCAGACCCCAGAAGATAGTGAAAGACAGCCTGCTGTGCTGTAGCCCATGGGTCACAAAGAGTCAGACATGACTGAGCGACTGAATAACAACCATCTTACTTTAAATGTGAGAGGATACCTTCCTACTGATATCCAGGAGAAGAGATGCCTCATCCAGACCAGACAGAGGACAAGCCACCTCTCAGAACCCAGCAGACTTTCTTCCTAGGACCCTCAGAAACTACTGAATTCTTAAAAATCCCTTTAACTCCCTCCAGGGATCTTGAATTATCAGGATTTCAGAGGCTCGCCTACCTGGTGCCTACACAGAGCATGTGTGAGAATGCTTTCCGGACCGGGGAACCAGCTCCTAGGCCACAGGGAGAGAGCAGGACTCTATTGCCTGTTGATATAATCAAGCTCAGGGAGACCTGGGTGGCTAAAACTTGAAAGAATGTTTGAACAATCTTGCCCTACACACAAGCAAGGAACCACCCCCAAGGCTGGGCCATCTTGAGTTAACCTTCCAAACTTCTGTTCTGCAGCACCCAATCCAGAATGAGCCAAAATTCCCAGGGAAAACCACTCGGCTCCTCAGCCAAAGAATCCCCTGTTGCCATATTCAGCAGTGGTGACACTGGTTTTCTCCACGCCCACCGTGGCTCAGCTTTTGGAAAGGGATGTGCATCTATGTGTGGCTCTGAATGACCGGCTTCCTATGGCTCTGCCCTCGGCTGGGCTGTAGCTCAGCCAAACAGTAAAGTAATGCACTTGTTTGGGCAAAGCCTTCTCCGAGCCCAGTGGTGGGTGTGGGTGAGGTTGTAGAATCCCTCTCTCAGCAGAACTTAACCTCTCCAGGAAAGAAGAGGCCCGGCCTGGAGCTCTCATCACCACAACACACAAAGATGCCAACGCACCAGTGTAACTACTGGGTCAGCAGCTCGGGGGGCGGGGGAACCACAAACACCGCCCCCGACCCTAGCTAGGGAGCTCCACCACCTCCACCACTGCGCCCCACCCCCAGCAGAGGGCTTTCAAGGCGGTTCAAGTCCATTTTCTATCTGATTCTCATAACCTTGAGGGAAGCAAAAGAGCTGTCTCTTGACCTGTGTCACAGAAGGGGAAACTTGAGATACCCAGCTTTCCCAGGGTCATGCGGCCGGTTAGGGACAGACTCCAGACAGAAAGCCACCTTCTCCCAGCTCTAGACTCCTCACCATTTATCCCTGCTGGGATAAAAGGGGGACGAGAGCCCCCTCTGCCTTAACATGAGAATAGCTGCCTTCTGTTGAATACTTACTCTGTGTCAGCACTGCCCTAGGCATGTCCGGCAGCTCCAGTTCTTAGGACTACCTTCTAGGGAGGTTGTAGACCCATCTTACAGATGGCAAAAGTGAGGCTCAGAGCAGTGAACTGACTGACTTAAGGCCACAGGCTACTGAGGGATGGACCGGGGGTTCCGAGCCCCACCCACTGGCTCCAAAGCTCCTTGGACCAAACCACCAACAAGAAGGGGGGAAGGACGCTACCTCATGGCCACGTTGCTGCCGTCGATCACTATGGGTCTCAAGGAGCTGGCGGGGCCTCCGCTGTCCTCTCCGGGGTCCGCTCCCAGCCCGCACTGGGCAGAGTCCGGCGCCCCGCAGGAGCCCCTGGGCACGAGCAGGGGTGCGGCACTGCCCTCGTGCGCGCTGGGCCGGCTGCCCGTCTGGATCAGCTCCTGCAGCACGTCGTTGACCAGGGCGTCCGCGCCCAGCTTGCCCAGCACCCTGACCACGTCCTCCCGGCTGTAGCCCAGCTTCTGGAAGAACTCCATCTTGCTCGAGGGCTCCATGCTGCGCCAGCCGGGGCCCCCGCGAGGGTCCTGCCGCCGGCTTCCTCCTGGCAGAGCCCCGCCGGCATGAGCTAGAGAGAAGAGGCATCCATCAGGTATTTGCTGGGCCGCTGGAGGCCGATTATGTGTGCTTCCCACCCGCCCCGATCTATCAGGAAGTAACATCGGGGCCTTGTGCCCTAGGGAGTTTCAGTTGCCGGTGTGGCTGGTGAGCCGCAGGTGCAACCTCGCTGCCTTTCCTAGCCGGCTCTCCCAGGCTTTCACCCCACTCCTGGCCCTCATGAGGGTCACCCGCCTGAGCAGGCCACCCAGAGCTCGGGACATTCGTGTCCAGGCCACAGAAGTGCTTCTGAGGTTCTGCTATGGCTGGACCGTGTCCCACCAAGTTGAAGCCCTATCCCCACCCCACCCCTCAGCATGTGACTATCGGGAGATAATGTCTTAAAGAGGTGATTATGCTAAAAGGAGGTCAGCGGAGCGGGCCCTAATCGAATGTGACTGGTGTCCTCATACAAAGAGGACAGTTGGACACAGATGAATACAGAGGGAGGCAGTGAGGAAATACAGTGGCGGGAAAAGGCCAATAGCCAGCTGAGGAGGAGGTCTCAGAAGAAACCAGCCTGCCAACACCATGATCTCGGACTTCCAGCCACCAGAACTTCAAGGAGGTGATGATGATGGTGGCGATAATGTTAAATGTTAAAAACGGTGGATCAGGCGGTTAGGAATCTGCCTGCAATGCAGGAACCCAGGTTCGATCCCTGGGTCTGGAGGATGCCCTGGAGAAGGGAACGTCTTCCCATCCAGTATTCTTGCCTGGGGAATTCCATGGACAGAGGAGCCTGGTGGGCTACAGTCCACGGGGTCACAAAGGGTTGGAAACAACCGAGCCACTAACACAAAGTCATCCCTCAGCTGGGGGGAAGGTTCCAGGACCACTGAAGATACAAACTCTGAATGGATGCTCAAGTTCCTTATACAAAATGGCTTAGTACTTATGTATAACCTAAGCATATCCGCCAGGACTCTAAAGCCTCTCTGCATTACTTATAATACCTAATACAGTGTAATGCCATGTAAATAGTTGCTGGGACACGGAAAAGGAAAATTTTGCTTGTATGGCCCAGGTCTCAGGCTTTAGGAACTCTTTGAGTATGATTAGGGGAGAAGGGGAGAAGGGGGTCAGTGACGACAGAGGAAGCAGCAGCAGGTAGGGATTCCCCCTCCCCCACGGCTCAGTCTTGCCCCTCAGTCAGCCCCCACCAGGCCAGGGAAGGGGGACAGGGCCCAGGGCAGGTGAGGGGCTAGGCCTCCCGGGGCCTAGGAAACTTCTGGGATTCTTTTTTTTTTTAACATTTTTAATCCACAATTGGTTGAATTCGAGGATATGGAGGGCCGATTGTTTACATATTATATAGAGGTCTTAAAAGTGGTAGTCGCTCAGTAGTGTCCGTCTCTTTGCAACACCCTGGACTATAGCCCACCAGGCTCCTCTGTCCATGCAATTCTCCAGGCAAGAATACTGGAGTGGGTTGCCACGCCCTTCTCCAGGGGATCTTCCTGACCCAGGGATTGAACCCGGGTCTCCCGCATTGCGGGCAGATTCTTTACCATGAGTCACTAGGGAAGCCTGTATATACCCAAAATAAAAACCAAGTCTGTGGTATTTTGTTATGACATCCATAGAAAATTAATACAACTCCTCGAGTTAAACAGGGGAAAACACCCTCTGGTGAATTCTATTCCCAGAAACACATGCTTTGACCGAAATTCAGATCTGTGCACCAACACAGTTTTCCATAGCAGTTAATTCAGATAGTGTTGAACCTCTAAAATAAGAAGTCCTAACTCACATTTGATTCTTTCCACCCAACTGTCACTTCCTGGCCTGCACCTTTGGGGTAGTTGGGGGCAGGAGGCTGCAGCCTGACAGATGTTTATAAGAAAAATATGACTGAGTCAAAAGGAACACTCTGGACAGACTGGATCTCTCTTTTCTACTCACAAAGACCTATATCTTTCAAAAAACTTTTAAAATACAGAGATAATCCTGAAAAATCTATAGACTATGAAAAATTGAAACAATGTGGAAGTATAATGAATGAAAAGATATAAAGTCTCTTCCTATAAACCCCAAACCCTACTTGCCTCTCCTGTCTCCTTCTAGCACTTTTTCTATGCATTTTCTTGCATGTCTAGCAGATACATGCACATACTATTTAAGGGAGGTTGTTTTTACACAAAGAGTATCATACTGGATTTATTGTTCAGCAAGTCGCTTTTCTTATTAAAGATTCATTTTGGAAATCTTACCCTTCCTGTTTAGCTGTTTGGCTGCCCACCCTATCCACCATATTTAGAATAGTGCCCGGCACAGCTGAATCTCAATGCATATTTGTCAAATGAATGAACAAATGAAAGAATGTATGGTGTTTATCCATATGCCAAATGATGGAAATTCAGGTGGTCTTTGATGTTTCCCCTACAAACGGTGCTCAACACACATTCACACACATCTATCATTCCACCCTGTCTTCTTCTTCATTTCCTAGCCTCCTACTGGAATCCTCTGCAACACACTATCTTCTAGGTTCCCAGCATGGCCTCCTCTTGTCTTGCAGAGCCTCTCCCTTAATGCAAGAACCTCAGTAGAACTCACAATGCCTGGGGCTGGCAGGTCACAGACATTTGTCAACCAGCCTCCTGGATAGAAAATTCTTGTGGAAAATTCTTCAAGAGATGGGAATACCAGACCAACTTACCTGCCCCTTGAGAAATCTATATGCAGGTCAAGAAGCAACAGTTAGAACTGGATATGGAATAATAGACTGATTCCAAATCAGGAAAGGAGTACGTCAAGGCCGTATATTGTCACCCTGCTTATTTAACTTATATGCAGAGTACATCATGAGAAATGCTGGCCTGGATGAAGCACAAGTTGGAATCAAGATTGCCAGGAGAAATATCAATAATCTCAGAAATGCAGGTGACACCACCCTTATGAGAGAAAGCGAAGAACCAAAGACCCTCTTGATAAAAGTGAAAGAAGACAGTGAAAAAGTTGGCTTAAAACTCAGCATTCAGAAAACTAAGATCATGGCATCCAGTCCCGTCACTTCGTGGCAAGTAGATGGCGAAACAATGGAAACAGTGACAAACTTTATTTTGGGGGCTTCAAAATCACTGCTGATTATGACTGCAGCCATGAAATTAAAAGATGCTTGCTCTTGGTAGAAAAGCTATGACCAACCTAGACAGCATATTAAAAAGAAGAGACATTACTTTGCCAACAAAGGTCCATCTAGTCAAAGCTATGGTTTTTCCAGTCATGTATGAATGTGAGAGTTGGACTACAAAGAAAGCTGAGTGCTAAAGAATTGATGGTTTTGAACTGTGGTGTTGGAGAAGACTCTTGAGAGTCCCTTGGACTGCAAGGAGGTCAAACCAGTCAATCCTAAAGGAAATTAGCCCTGAATATTCATTGGAAGGACTGACGCTGAAGCTGAAGCTCCAATACCTTGGCCACCTGATGCAAAGAACTGACTCATTGGGAAAGACCCTGATGCTGGGAAAGATTGAAGGCGGGAGGAGAAGGGGATGACAGAGGATGAGATGGTTGGATGGCATCACCAACTTGATGGACATGAGTTTGAGCAAGCCCTGGGAGTTGGTGATGGACCGGGGAACCCGGTGTGCTGCAGTCCATGGGGTTGCAAAGATTCAGACACGACTGAGCGACTGCACTGCCTCCGGAATAGAGAAGTCTCTGCTGCAGCCAGCACTTGTCCGTTGCTACCCGCCTGGCCTACTGATCACTGCCATACCGAAATTGCCCTCAAGGTCACCAGTGACCTCCTAACTGCCAAAGCCAGCAGCATCTTTCCACTCCTTGCCTTGGGCAGCCTCTCTGCTGCGTTTGGCTCTGTGGCCCACATCCTTACTTGGGATTTTAAATCCAAAAATTTTGGACCACCTCCTTCTTGAAACTCTCTTCTCCCTTAGGTTGCACAACTTCACCCAGATCTCCTACTTCTTTCCAGCTCTTTGCTTAGCTTCTGGTCCCTTGTTCAATGTCGGGGTCCTGCCCAGGCCATCTTCCCTCCCCCTCATGCTCTCCACCAGCCCCCTAGATCATGAACCCACAACTGCACTTCCAGCTCAGACTCCTTGCTAAGCACCAGGCAGACACAGCTGTAAACCTGTGAGATAAATGCCCTGCGCGCTGTTTGGTAAAGCACTGTGGGAACTCAGAACATTTGCTGAGTCGGCTTCAGTGATTCTCAAAGTGTGGTTCAGAGGGAGCCCAAGACCCTCCCAGGGAGTGTATAAGGTAAAACTATTTCCCTAATAAATGCTAAGTTGTAATTTGCTTTTTCTTCCACTCATCCTTTCACAAGTGTACCTTGAAGTACCCCAGGAGCTACATGTCATTGTGATATTGCCAACAGCTTGAACATGGTAGCAGATATGAGAAGCCAGCTGTATTGTATTAAGCTGGATATTAAAGAGATTTGCAAAAATATAAATCAGTGCCAGTCTTCTTACAAATTTTGGGGGTTTGGAAAATAGAGTTCTTTCTCATAAAATACATCATTTATGTTAACATGATTGGTTTACCCTGATTTTGAAAGTAAATGATTATTTTTAAATTTCATAGTTTTAGTTTCTAATAAAGTACATATCAACAGATAGATATAAACCACATAAACAAAATGGGGGGGTCCTTAATGGTTTGTGAGAGTGGAAAGGAATTCTGAAACCAAAAACCCTCTTCTTAAATCTAGAGCTTCTCAACAGATTTTTCCATGTAGACGGTTCCGTGTAGGTGGCCTATAGACATATCATCCAGGGCCCCGAGCAGAGGCCTGTCTTTCCTTCCTTCAGCGTCGCCCCTCTCACACCCACCTCCTCCCCACCAGCCCCACCCAAGCCTCCATGCCCACCTTCTGCATCCCACCCCCCATGCGGGCCACAGCCTCCTAGGGGCCCCTCCTCCATCC